CTGTTCTTTATAAATCTTCAGTTTTTGTTCCTCTTTCTGGTAAACAAAGTGAAGTACAAAACACTTGTTTTTAAGAAACTCTCAGAGTTGACCAATGAAATAAAAAAAAAAATAAAAGAAAAAAGAAAAAGGAAAAAAAAATGATGTTTTCTCTTGTTGTCACTTGCATGGTCAACATTCCCTTTAAAAATGGTCTTTGAACAAAATAAGACAAGAAACAACAACAGATTTTGCAGATAATTCAGATTTAAACCATTTGGATATTAAAAATTGAGCCCTCTTTGAAACATTATGCAGTTTCATGCCAGAATTTTTGCTTTGTTGAGTCAAATGCAGTTTGTTCACAGTCTATCATGGGACAAGAGGCTGCTGTAGTCTCAAATGACATGGAGAATTGTTCTGAAAATCTGTACATGTCCCAAATTAACAACTGTGACAAGTTGTACAAATTTGAACTGGTGTGACTTTGTCTTTATTATTGAATTGGCCAAGCTGCACAGAAAGGTTATAATTGCCAAGACATAGTGCTACAGCTGGCTGTTGTGTCTGTTCCTACCTTTAAGATGCCAGATCTTTTAGTTCAAAACATATATCACAAACAATAAATAAGGGTACCGTGTGTACACGTCCATCAACAAAAGACCAAAAGAACTTGTTCTATAAAAATTCCACTGTGTAGAAACTGTGGTATGCATACTGATTTGCACAAATACCAGAAGGCAGGCAAAAGAAAATACAATTCCTCCACCCATCTTGTTTTAACCCCTTAACAGCCATGAGTGACCAAGATAGAATTTCTCCTTACAATATCAATGCAATATCAAACAGATAAGTTATGAGAATAAAGAAAAATGTCAGCCTGGAGATAATTAGTTGATTCAATACTAAATTCTCTGAACTAAAATTATAATAATTGTATGGTTGACAGTAAGGAGAATTACAAATTTGATCTGGGAGTTAAAGGATTAACAGCAAAGAAAACAGATGCACATGTACCTAGATGTAATCAGCTATGCATCGTTAACCATTGAAATAGTTTTTACCTCCTTCTCTTCCCTTTCATGTTCCTTTCTCTTTAATCGTTCTTCCTTTTTCTTGACCTTCTTTTCTTTCTTTTCTTCTTGTTTTCGTTCCTATGAAGAGATTCATATTCTCACTCACTCTATTCCAAAGGCTGATCACATCCCCTTAACTTCAAAATTTATATAATTGCCATTTTAATACACTGCAATAATAGTAATATGCATCTTA